TTTTTGCAAATTTCGTTGCTTGTTCATGTGTTTTAAATTTTATACAAAATGTTTCATGTTTGGCTTCACCATCAGAAAAATCCATAGCTGACCAAAGATAAACATTCGGTATTTCTCGATGTGGTTTTAATTCCATATGTGATGTTATTTTATGATTTGCACATATTTTAAAGATATGTTCACGACGCATTAATATTCGACATATAGTTGTTATTTTATGTTGTAAAATTTTCATTTCACCAATTCCACGTTCTTTCATTTCATTTGTTGATGAATCAAAACGATAAAGTTTTGCACGTTCACAAAATAAAATACTTTCATCTTCTTCTCCTGTTCGAACTTCAACAGGTGATAAATGTACAATAGGTTTAAATGATATAGATGATTCATCAAAATCATTTATATTGTCAATATTATCATGTGAATAATTTGTGTCATTATTGAAACTTATTGGATCAAAAATAAATGGAACTAAAACTCAGAAGTAAATTCGGATGTTTTTAAAATTTTTATTTTATATTACCATTACGTGATGGTTGCTCATATGTTGTCGGAGCAAATGAAAATGATTCTGTATTTGATGTTAAATCAGGTATATTTAAAAAGAATGATTTATTAAATGATGGAGAAATTTGTAATTCTGGATGAAAAAATGATAAAGGATTGGACGGTGGCGGTTGTGGTGGTGGCATATATATTTGAAATGGAGGTAAAAAATGAGATTGTTCTTGTTCAAGAGTCATTATTCTATTTGCAAGTATTTCTATGTCGTTCTATAAATTAATCTTGAGAAATAATAAAATTAAAATAAAAAGACAAACCCTAATTTCAATTAATTGAAATGAAATATGTCCAGAATATTGTGCTAAATTTTGTATAACATTCGTTTGAAGATTTAAACAATTGATGAGCTGCTCATTGAGATATTCATCAAATGTTGTTGCTGGCGTTAGAGCAGACATCTGGAGTACAAAAACAAAAATAAAAGAAAATTTTTAAAATAATAAAACAAAACTAATTTATTAATGATAAATTAAATAATAAGAAAAAGAAGGACAGAACAGCCATTTTCTTCTTTTAAGCACGAGTCTACTCTACCTTCCTATACTCATGATATTTCAATTGAAAGTCTATAGATGGCATACTCGTCCGAATGGATTTAATATAAAAAAAAAACACTGATATAAAATTAACATTTTATTGAAGAATTAAATTAAAAATCTAAATGGTTCTATCAAAATTTGTGATTATTTTACTACATAAGATGTGTCTGTACACCAAAACAACAATTGTTTGTCCTACCGGAGTTTTCAATTACCTCTTCGGAAAAGAAACTTTCGATAGAACACTGTCTATGACTTAGTCAAATAATCTATTTGGTTGATTAATAAAACTAAACTATGCAAAATGTTTTCGTCTTCGACCTTGTTTCGAATACGGTTGGTCCAAACATTCTAGTTATGGACTAAAGATCAGCGGAGTGAAACTTTTTAGCCCCGAAACCGAAAAGTCCTTTTACTTCTCTCTCACTCCGAAAAGTCTCGATTTTTTTCTCATTAATAACTGATATCTAATATGCGTGGCACTATGTTGATGGAAAAATGTAGACTAAATCTTGATTGCTAGCTAGTCTAAAGAGAATAAATTGAGAAAAAAGAAATAACAAGGTATCCTCTTCTATTCTTTCTCTTCGTTTGTGTATAAAATGAAAGGATGATTTTAAAGTTGTTAACAGGAAAAGAACTTAAGGATGCTTATAAAGAAACAAGATGATTCTATTAAATATGAGAGTGTCGATGCGTCTTCTATACACCCACTCATCCTGTTTTTCTTTGTTCGTCTTTACTCTTTAATTAATTGTGAAAATAAGTAAGTTTGTGTTATAGAAAAATGAAAGTCATTTTTCAGTGAGTATCCTAAATTTTTGGCGCCCAATAGGGTTAGAGTGTACCCGTTGATCTCTATTGTGAACTAGTGTCATTGATTAATATTAGATTTATTTGCTAAAATCGATCATTGATATGTATTTGTTGTGTATTAGATATTTGAATGAAGACCATTCAATGTCTCAATGAAAAATCATGTCATCATCATCACATTTGAATCTAATGAATCATTGTTTTGTATACTGTCAAATGGATAAATGATCATCATAATATCGTTTGAATTGATCAATCATTCTTAAGTATGAATTCGAATAGACATTTTGCTTACGACAGTAATTGGTGAATATCTTCTTCTCTTCTTTATCATATTGAATCTTTAAAATAGTATCTATGAATTATTGAGAATATACATATAATGAATCAAGTTCATTGAGAATAATAGATCTATTCAAGGTGAACGTAAGATTGATTTCAAATGGATAAATTTCTTGTCTCGACAAAGCAAAAATTTAACAATTTTTAGTAAATATACTATTAAGTTATTTATATTATTTTAAATCATTGTTCAAATTTTGTTTGATACAATATCAATGGAATAAATTTGAATTATTTATTCAAAATAATTGAGAAAAAAAAATCAGTTGTTAATCAAAAGAATCATAAATATTTGAACGGATCTGGAATACTTGCTTGCAAAGTTTGTAGGTCTTCTTTTCGTTCGCATCCATACTTTAATCGTCCATGATATGCATATTTTCTAGTTTATTCACATTTCAAAAGATTGTTTGTGTTATTTTTCCAAACAATTATATATTGGTAAATGTGCGTTTTTCAGAGATGTCTCCAATCTCTCCATGATTTTCCTTCGTCGAACTGCATTCTGTGTATACAAGATCCAAGAAATATTTTTATGAAAAATTTCAATGTTTTTGCCATGTTTGACGCTTTGAGATCTTTTGTAAATAGAATAGAATTCGATGGAGGAACGGTCGAAGATGTCTCATTTTACTCTCTATCAAGTAAAATCTTCTCCTGAAAGCTTCGAATGCAAGCCAGAAAACTAGTTTAGAAAGTCTCGGTTTTTCGCAAACTCTCATCCAAGCAGTTTTGTCGAAGCCTTCCTGCCTACTAATCCTAATAGAGAATCCTTGCAGCTACAAAAATGTTTTTTTTTTTTGAGATTCTTGCTAGTTTTTACCATCCAAAAGAAAACTTTAAAATACAGTTGCTCTAAACTTGTTTTTTGCCATTATACAATAGTTTAGAGTTGAGCAAATGCATTTCTTGTGTGTGCATTAGAATCTAACGATGTATTCGTTTTGTCAGTCATTATGAAACGGTTAGACAAAAAAAAAGCATATACAAAACAACCATATAAAATGAATGACGTCATTGTTTTTCTTTGATTTGCCAAATGAAGCTTTTTTTTTTTCTTTTCTGTACAATTATTATTTTTGTTGGATTTTTTCCCCATGTAGAATGAAAGAAAGAGAGAGCAATACATATATATAACGTACATATTCTTCATTGAATTCAGAAATATTTTATCAGGTGAAAAAGTGTCGTACTTCCTACATGTTTTTTTTCTTATATACAGCTAAATTTCTATTTTAAAGCATCTGTTGAATATTCACTGTAAGTATACTGATAGAAGTATTTTCACATTCTGAAGAAGTAGAAAATATATCAAGAAATAAGAAATATGCTTTGCATTATTGAAAAGACTATCCACTTTACCCTACAGGTCACAGTAACCCTATAGATCTCTATCTGTCATGTAGAGTATTAATTATCAAGTATCCTACTGTGCAAGCACTCTATGACATATCTATCTGAAAAATCAAATCGATAGTCTACAGTTTATGTATGGTAAAAGCTATTCTAATTATAAGACTGTATTTTTAATTTAACAACAATAGTTTTTTTTAAACAGCTTCATTTGCAAGTGGCTTTCGATACGTGCGTCATAGCTAACGTAATACTCAAATATATCATGATTTAGAATTGTTGATGTGTCATCACATTCGAATTTATTGATGTTCTAAATATTTAAATTTTATAATAATCAGTTAATCGCTCATTGCTGAAAGTTAAGTAATCAAAGAAAATATATAAATATTGTCGAACTCTAGTCCTATTATGAACGACAGTCTTTAGAGAAGTATAACTTTCGGCAATAGTTGAAAGTCGTGTTTTTGGAATGAATGGCAATTTTTAATTGTATTATTTTGATTGAATTTCCTTATTGATTCAAAAAAGAATCAATCTGTTTCCTTGCATACAAACAAAACTTAAAAATATGTGAAACAAAAATAATCAATAGAAATTTTAAAAAATTACAATTTATTCAAACGTTACCAAATACATATAGATCAACTTGTCAAAATGAAAGAAATAGCAATTCATACAGAGATATTATTATTGATAGAAGATCATGAGAATTTTCGAAAGAATATGAATTCACATTTATTCATGATATATTTTTCTATTTATGCTATTAGCATGGATATGATAAGCTAGTTACAAGGTCAATTAGTACAGTCTTTCCTTAGTACAAAAAACATGAGAAAATCAAAAGCTGAAGTTCTTGTTTGACAAATTTTCAGATTCAAATGGATCCTGAGTACTTCCTATAAGTTTAATTTCAATTTCCAATACTATTTTTTTTTGTCTTTGTGCAAAGAAACCTATGAATCAATATTGTCCTACTTTTTGAGAAAGTGGAAGTACATTATATTCAACAGACTAATTACTCCTCTAGAGGTCACTAGTTGTCTAGTACAATTAAATGTCAAATTGTATTTTAATTATTCGATATTGAAAAATGACGAAACTATAGATCAAAATAAAATAGTATTCAATTTTAATTTAATTTAAAATTATGAATAGAGGCTTGAATGAATAATTAATGGAAACATTAAAAAAAAAACAAATTCTAGAAACTATTTTCTATTTCAAAAACCCAGTAAACAACATTTATATTTCTACGATCATATTTGATGATTTTTTAAAATAAAATAATATTTATTTGATTTATGAATAATCATATCATAAATTATATTTTAGATTTTAACAGATAATTAATTAATCGTTTTTGTTTTTTGTACTGAAACGATGGTTATAACTACAATTAATATGGAAAGAGATGTACGACGTCGATATAATCGACGAGTACTTTTTTGTCTTCGAATTAAGTAAGTTTTAATAAATCTTATGGTTTTTTTTTTATACACTTAAGAAAATGTTCATTGAAAATTTGAGAAAGAAAATTAAATCACTATATGATTTCTTTTTTTGTTTTATTTTCATAGAGGAGCTGCTTTATTCATTGGCTTCTGGGATTTATTTATTCATTTAGTTGCATTATGTGCTATTATATTTATTATGTTTGGATTAGCATCTGACTCTGTTATTATATGTAGATTAAAAAATAATGAATTATATGATCAAGTACCAAAAATATCTATTGATAATTATCATAAATCATCATCAGAAGATATAATAAATAATAAAAATTTTCTTTCAAAACATTCATTATTAAATCGTATTTTGGAAAAACGTAATATGACTCGTCCATTAATGGAAATGAATCCAAGACATTTTTATTCATATGACGATTTTATGACTTTTCATTGGATACAATCACTTAGTCAACGTATGTTAAAATAATAATGTTTTTTTTTTCTTGTAATCATAAAATTTCTTTAACAAGAGAACTGAGTTTTTATTATAGTGTAGATCGCAATAAGAAGTTTTCCCTCCAGTAACAATTCCAAAGTACTAGGATTTGATAAAATATAGTGATATCAACAACAATTTACTTTACGAGAGGTGCGATTTAACCAAAAAAAGATTTTCGAACTGAATCCTTAGTATTTAGATTTACTTTTGAAGAAAAAAAAACTAGTTTGTGTTGCGATATATAACGATCACCAAATTGCAAACTATATGTGTATATTTGATTCAACTTCCAAATCTAATTTAGATTTGTTATACTCTCATCCTCCAAGGATAACATGTTTGTACAACAGGTCTCGAAATCTAGCCACTTTTTTATAGTCCGGCCTGGACCCGAAAGAAACTTTGTTTACAAAGATTTTTTTCTCAATAGAACGCTATTCCATATTTTTCGACTTTTATAAAAAGTGATGACCGAGGGAGAGGGGTAGCATGGAGAAGCTTCCCCTATCCCCTCCTCAGGAGGAAGCCAAATCTCAAGAAAAGTTATGTCAAAGAAAGATAAAATCGTAGACCATGACAGGTGCTAAACAGAGACTGTCACAGATGTTGATATACAATCAAAGATTGTATATGAATAATGTCTCGTTCTACTTCTTTATTACAGAGATAAAACCGGCCTGTGACGGGTACCAGTCGCATATCTAGATTCAACGTTTGTTCTTGAATTAAATAGGACGAGAAAAATACAATAAAGCTGTCCATGTAAAATATAAACGACGTCATTGTATTAAGACCAATCGAAGTTTTCAAATAAGTTTATACAATAAAAGCAGGGTAGCAAATAAGTTAGATTAGCAACCAGCGAGTCTACCGGTTCCATCTCTGCCTTATATGCATTAACAACTTTTTTTTTTAATTTTAGGAGATAAATGTATCGTCTTTGTCATCATTTTTTCGGTTACAATGCTTATATTAGCACATATTTGTGGAGTTATAACTGTAAGTTTATTTTATTTAAATATTGATTTGTTTTTTTGTTATTATTTTGATTTTGTCTAGAACAAACCATCATATATAGTTCCATATTTTCTAATAAAAGTTTTTAATGTTATCATAGCAATATTAACAATGTTAGGTTTTTATGCTTATTTACCTGATATAAAAGCTTGGCTTCAAATGCAATCACATTTTCCATATAAAAATTATTTACTTGAATTCGATGGACAGACACTTCAACTTCTTGTATTTACTTCTCTTTTATTTCTTATTTTAGTTAAAGTATGATCTCATTTGAAATATTTTTATGTAATAAAATTCTTTTATTTTCAAGCTTTATATTGTGGCTATTATTTGGTATTGTTATGGTTATATAACAGCATTAACAATGGCTCGAACTATTGGAACATTTACAACTTATACTGATGTTCCACAACCAATTATTGGAGAGGTATATTTTTGTTTTATGATTTTCTATTTAATCTTTTCTTTTATTTGAAGATGTATTCACCACCGAAATATGAAGAAGCAATTAAATCAAATCCTCAACAACAAGAACATTATTCACCTCCACCATATACACCGTTATTATCATCATAAATTTGATATTTTCATTCTTAAAGATCTGAATTGTTCATTCGTTTTTTTTCCGGTTTTATTTATTTATTTTATTTATTTTCGAGCATACACATAGACACAAAAGTCATTAAAGCAAATGATACTTCTATCCTTTCTTATTAATCATGCATGTCTATTTTTTTTTTCTTTTTTTTTCTTATTGCTTTTAACGTAAAGGCATGATAGATATGTATTGGATGACAACTAGAGTGTGATTTTGTATATACATACATGATTTATAAATCGAGATTAAATAAATATTATATTATTACGATTAAATATTCATTGCATTTGATTTTTATTTATTATTTAATAATCAAGTTCGTTGTATAATCGATCTTTAGAAAAAGAAAATTGTTTTTATATAAGAGCTATTCCACGTAAGTCATGACCGAATCTACTCAATCGATGATCGTTGATTTGACTGATTTTTTTATACATGTTATAGGAGCAAATGTTTGATGAATTTCTACCCAAGTCGTTTCAAAAAAATATTGTACCATTTTTTTCTAAAAGCACCCCATCAAAAAATGAAATTTTTTTGTGACATCGATATCTTCTGAACAATATATCCGTTTCGTTTGAAATTTGTACTGTGAGCAGATATGATTCTGCATTACCGAAAAAAAAATTAGCTCAAATGGATGAACTTGTTGATAAGTTGACCAAGACTACCAAGTGCATGAAAAACATTTCACTTTTTAGTATTTTGTGCATATACATATCGATTGGACGAATCACGCTAGAAAGCTGAAATTTTGGCTACAGAGAGATCCCATTGAATACTGAATCTCACAAAAAATTTCACTGTCTGACTAGTTCCAACGGCTCAGAAGACCCTTGTCAAAGATATGATTTTAGTCAAAATCACAGTTTTGGGAAGAGTTGATCTAGAGAAAAATCACATCTATAGAAGTTCGGTTCTGTATGGTTTCGAACTACACACTTAGTACTACAAAGTCCTGCAAGAATTGGCTTGGAACGTTGTAGGATACCGCGCAGAGTCTTATCGAAAGATGAGCCCAAAATTGATGTCGTTCATGCTTAATTGAGTCAGATTTGTTTAGAAATTATTAAAAATGTTACATGATACGAAGAAAGTTTTTATTCACTACATATCAGCACATCATTTTCTATTAATTGAGATATATAACTTCTTTGAAAATGAAAAAAAAAAATTTCGATCCAAAATCCTGGAGAAGGAGAGTACGGCAACATTTTTTACTGAAATCTCCGTATCCCTTCTTCAGGCTTTTGGGTTGAAAAGTTTTTTCTGTCATTTTCAACGAAGTTATGTAACTCAATTAATAGAAAATTATGTGCTGATGTGTAGTGGATAAAAACTTTCTTCGTATCATGTAACATTTTTAATAATTTCTAAACAAGTCTGAATCAATTAAATATGAACGACGTCAATTTTGGGCTCATCTTTCGATAAGACTGTGCACAGTATCCTATAACATCTCAAGCCAGTTGTTGCAGAGCTTTGTAGTACTAAGTGTATAGTTCGAAACCACACAGACCGAACTTCTATAGACCTGACTGTGCTTCAGATCAGACCTTCCAAAAACCATGATTTTGACCAAAATCCCATTTTTGACAAAGGTCTCCTGAGCCATAGGAACTAGTCAGAGAGTAGAATTTTTTATCAGAATTAGTACTAAATGACATATCTCTCTAGTCAAAATTATAGCTTCCTAGTCTGATCCATTCTTGAGATAGGCCTATGCACAAAATACTAAAACATGACAACTTTGTCATGTACTTGGTAGGATGGGTCAACTCATCGATAGTTCATTCATTTGACCTCATTTTTTTATGGCTAATACCATAATCTAAGATAGACCTTGAGTAAAAAATTTAAGTGAAATGAATGTATTCTTAAAGAGATATCGGTGCCACAAAAAAATCGCAAAAAATGTCATTTTTTGACGAGCATGCTCTCAGCGAAATTTAAATATCTCACGAACGAAACACTATTTTTTGAAACGACTGGCGCAGAAATTCATCAAACATTTGCTTCTATAACATACATAAAAACCAGTGAAATTAGCGATCATCGATTGAGCAGCTTCTATGAAAGTCGGTCATGGCTTATGTGCAGTGACTTATAAGTCTTTGTTCAAGTAATACGTTTTTTCATGAAAAAAATATTTTTTTTCAATGAGTTTCATTATCGATTGTAATTTTATATTTCGGTCAGGTTTTTATTGTTAAATTATAACTATCTGAGATTTATATCAGTTATAATCTTTGGTTAACAATAAGTTAGTGTTTGTTAACAACTACGAAAAATTTTAGTTCGTCAGAAAATCTACTGTTCTAGAAAAAATGAAATACAAATTGATTAATAAAAAAAAATGTTTAAAAAAAAAATAAATAAATAAAAATATTGTTTTTATTTAAGTCACTGTAATAATAGTTGTAGATTCTTTATCAGTATCGACGGTTGTAACCATAGATAACATAGAATTATGTAAATCAGAATCACATATTGTAGAATTTGAATTTGGTTCGAGTCGTTGTAAAACTTTTAAATCATTTATATTTGATTGTTGTTCTTGTTTTTTATGGGGTAATAACGTTTTTGGAAATGGACGAAAAATTGGAAAATTATTTGCCGATTTAAGTTCTAAAAATAAAAAATATATAAATTAATATTCAAGAAAAAAAAATAATAAGAATCTGTTGTTATTTAAAATCATATCACACACGCAACATAGTTAATATGAAATTCCTTTCCACAAACTTGCCTTGGTCTTTGTATAGAAAGCCTGTGATGTTCAGTTTCGAAACTCTGGATTTTTTGCTTCCTAGATGCAAATATAAAATCGAAGAAATCTACTCTTTACACTCCGAAAATTAAGTATTATTCGTATGCAAAAAAAAAACAACCAATCAAAAAACAGTGAGGTGCATTTTTGTACCCTGTTTGAGATGTTAATCGTGCAGTATGTCGATAAATAACCAGTGTACAATTATCTAATTTTCGAAAAAAAAGAATTTTTTAGCATTTATTTGTCTATTTTACGTTTGAAAAATAATTTAAAAATAAAAACAAAAGATAAGTGCATTCAAAATAAAACCTATTATTGAACAACTGCATGTGGATTTAAAATAATTAAAGATGAAAAATGCATTTGTTCATCTCGATATGATAATCGAGTTTTTCGATTATGAGCAAGTAATTTTTGTTTTATTAATCGATTGACATGTTGAGAATTAGATGATAGTTTTGGTAACCGATTTATATTAAACAATTCTATTAGATCTCTTTGGAAAAATATACAAAACCAAAATTTCAAATTAAATTAATCTATTTACCTTTTGGTGATGGTACACGATCATTAATTTTTGATCGATTTAATGGTTGAATTGGAAGTGAATTAACTGTAATACGATTTGAATTTGTTTTTGATTGTTTACGTCTTCTTTCATTTGTTGGTAATGGTATTTGATTAGGTTTATTATTTGGATGAAAATGATATTGACAAATATCCTCTTTTTCTAATATAGAATCAGTTGATGATGTTACATCATTATTATTTGTTGATTGTTGAAATGTTTCATCATTTTTTGAAGATAATCCATCATGATGATTGTCAAGAGCACTTGTTGAACATGATGGTGTTAAATCATGATTAGTTGAAAAATCTTTTTCTAAAGATATTTGTGGTGGTGCAGAAACAGGTGCAGTTATTGTTGTATTATTATGATGTGTATTATTTGTATTTGAATGATTATTTTGTATTCGACTAGTTTTACAAGGTTTGCCTTCAATACGAAGATCAATACCAACATATATTGGTACGGGTACTGGTAATCCTTTATGTATTAATTCAAAACGACCTGTATCATTTGTTCGATTATATTTTCGATCAATTATTACTAAATATAAACAAGAAATTCTTTTTTTTTTCTTTATTATCCTTCTTACCTTTACAAGTATCTTCAAGAACACCATCACACATTTCTGTTGTTACTGCTGTACAACGAGCCATTGTTGGACTACAATTTATTTCAATAAGCCACGGTTGAAGATCTTCACCAAGCATAAAATCAGCACCAAATAATTCAAATGAATTCTATTGAAAGAAAAAGTTTATGTACGATTTGTTTTTCAATAAAAACAGTACATAGTTGTTAGCATCTAAGCTGAAATTAAGTCCAATGTTGAACATTTACATTAAAGTTCGAATTAGTCTACGGATTCTTATTGATAAAATCTGATGAAGTAATGGTATAGATGTGCAGTGTTGATGTAAATAATGAACAATGAATCATTGGCAAGGAGTCTACTGAGACAACTAGTATCTACGTTCGCTGCAATATTCAGACACCAACTCTATCAAAATACGTCGGCAGCTTCTTTTTTTTTACTTCATATTCTAAAATTGGATGAATTCGCATCCAATTTGAGTGTCTACAAGTCCAACAGTCAGAATCGAGATTGAGTCTGATGGATTCAATTCAACTGTACTAATTTGACATAGTGGCGGAAGAGATTTCCGTAGAGCCTTTCGAGAACCATCATGGCAGTGGAAACTTTTTATATAGTTCACCGCACTGCGATGAACATTCCTGATTCCAATGTTTCAGTGAATACGGATACTAGTGTTAGTGTGCACTAACCGCACTGAGTGGATGAGTAGAGATGTATAGGATAAGGAGTATGAAAAACGCTTATCCTGCAGATCTTTATATCGGTGACGTCAATGGTTAGTAAACAGCAATTGCACATTCCTAAGTAATGACACTTTAATTAATACAATTATCAATCAAGTTTGAATTTTCTGAAACCATTGATGATTGTTTTAATTGAAATGTTATTTGTTTCATTAGAGTTCATTAATAAGAATTCGAAACCGATATCGATCTAGTGTTTTATTCAGCGTGGAAATCGAGGAGATGGCATCGCTCGTTTAAAGATTAGGTTGGTTCTCCTGAAGTTTGTGGTTATTGTACCACATATTATATGTATC